CCGGCGGCGACGGGGACCGCGGGCTCGCGCGGAGCGGCGCGGCGAGGCGGTCCGCGTCGGCGAAGACGAGGTCGAGCGCCGTCGCCGGCTCCGGCAGCGCGCGCCCGAGCGCCGTCGCGTGCGCGGCGCGCGCGGCGTCGGCGCACGCGCGGAGCCCGTGCTCCGACGACGCGAGCTCGAGGCGCGCGGCGTCGGCGCTCGCGCGCGCGGCGTCGCGCTCGCCGACGAGGCGCCGGTTCTGGGCGACGAGGTCCGCGTGCGCCGCGGCGAGGGCCTCGCGGTCGCGCGCGCGCGCGTCGGCGGCGTCCGCGCGCGCCTCGAGCGCGGCGGCCGCCGCGCGCGCGTCGCGGTCCGCGGCGGCCGCGGCGGCCGCGGCGCGGTCCGCGGCCTCGGCGCCCGCGGCGGCCGCGGCCTCGAGGTCGTCGCAGCGCCGCCGGAGCGCCGCCTCGCGCGCGGCGGCCTCCGCGCCGCGCGCCGCGGCCGCGCGCTCGCGGTCCTCGAGCGCGGCGACGAGCGCGCGCTCGTGCGCCGCGTCGCTCGCGCGCAGCCCCGCGCGGAGCTGCGCCTCGACGCGCGGCCGCAGGGCCTGGAGCGCGCCGGCCTCGGCGCCCGCGACGGCGCCGCGGAGCCGCTCGAGCTCGCGCGCGTGCGCCTGCGCGGAACTCGCATCTTCCACCCGACTTCGACGTGCGCGTCGTCGAACGGTCTGGACCAGGCTTTTCGGCCGTGCGTCGAGGACTCGACGAGAGCCATCGATCCGTCCAAACATCAGCCGAATCGACTTCGACGCGACCGAGCTCGAGCATTTCAAAGTTTGGCGCGGACGTCCGAAACCGGCGGTCGATTTCCACGCAGGCGCGCGCCGCGTCGCGCGCGGCGACGGCCGTCGCGAGCTCCCGGTCCTTGAGCGCGGCGACGCCTGCGCGGGGGGCCGGGCGTCACATCCCCGCGGCGGGGCGCGCCGGGCGCCGGCCGCGCGCGGTCGCGGTCCTCGGCGGCCGCGCGCCGCGCGGAGCCGAGCGCGTCGCCGAGCGCGCGGCCGTGGCGCGCG